AACCAATTCCTCATCTCTCTACATCATAATAGTAATCATTTGTTATAAATTCATGGGTTAATGAATTTCTTCAAAGCAATCAAAACAGTATGGTCGTCCCCATCCTAAAACACCGACATGTGGAAAACATATTAATCCCTACATCTCCGAGGTGCATAATGGAATTACTGTAGACATAGACCTCAAATTATTAGTAATTACTGAAAAATAAGAGCTAAAAAGAATTATAAATAGTGATAAAATATTGGTGGTTAAGGTTTTTGACTGGTGACTGATGGGGATACAATATAGGGATGGCGACGATAGACGATACATTGAAGTATCGAAAACATCGATACATTGGACGTAGAACATCGATCTTTACGCATCGATGGTTTCATGACGATATGTCGATATCGAGAGGAATCATAAACATCCGTAACCGTATACCCCGAGTCTATCCTTAACTGTGCTACCATCTCTAAGCGAGGACTGGTAGCTTCGAAATTGAGAGGCCCGAAAGCTATTTAGGTGTTTAGTAGTATTTGAATATTATCATTACAGACGAGCACTGAGCCACTGAGTGGCCACTTAGCACTGTAGTCTTTTCTTCATTCTGTACTTCCCCAAGCGATAGAATAAAATAGACTGAAAACAGCGCGTTTAACGATTTTCAGTTCTCAGAGAAAGATTTTCCCCTGCCGGCCCTTGACATCGTTTCCAAATATGAAATTCTGGAAACGCTATAAAAATAAAAATGAATACACAAAGCCTACTTACCTATTTCAGACAAAAACAAAAACAACTGCCACATAACGACTGTCACCTTGACATCGTTTTGCAATCTGTCAAAGTAGTGATGGGCGTGCCTGCTGCACGGTATACGGTATCGATATTCGATAAAATATTTTTCTTTCTACCATGAATGCGTGGAGAGAGATCTAAAATAAGGAGTTACTAAAGGCCTAAAATAGCGAGGCGCTAATAATTCCTGGCCGTATTTGAATATCGAAGCAGGCACAGTAAAACAAAAATAAGACTTGGTATTAATAAAGTTTATTTCGACAATTGGCAGAGTTTGCTCCACTGGGACGAAGTGTTGACGGATCCCACAGAATTATGTGTCACTTGTCGTTATGGTTAGTTTGAAAATATCAGGAGATAATCAGCTGTTATTCAAATCAGTGTATATGTTTTATGATTCAAATAACGTCTAATATAAATGTATAGTAACTCAGAATATGTACTCAGTGAAAAAAGAAAAATATTGCAAATTTCTAGTTTTTCTGCAGGTTTTAGGTTTGCTGGTAGCTCTACGACATATATTTGGGTATTTCTTAACCGCTGTGAATATAGTGTGGATGTTTGTTAAGTTCCTGAACAACGAAAAATATTCAACTTTATGGATGTATGGATATTAAAAAACCAGAATGGTTTTGTGGGAATATCAATCTAAGGTGCCATAATGGTTCTGATGAACGGCAAGTAAATGAATGAATGTCTGGAAACGAGCAATATCTATGAACTTTTTGGTAGAGTCAGTCATCAAGTAGGTGCTTAATGGCAATCCGCATGAGGCTTATAGGAAAAAACACCCAGTAGATGATCTTCAATCAGTAAAATCGCATATCAATTGAAGAAAATAATATAAACATGAATAAAAAATCAACAATAGTAATTAAATCATGAATTTTATTCAAAAATCAAACATTTGTTTAAATTTTGACTGAATTATACGTATATGTAATTTCTTAATATTCAATAGGCTGATGATCTTTCAATGACAAGATGTCATCTCATACTTTGACAGTATTTTGTTTTCAACATTTCATAGCTATAATTGGCCATAAATCTTTCGTACGCAAGGCGTCACTCGGTGACAAAATAGCCCGGAGACTGGTAGCAACCGTTCAGTTTTATATGGCGCTTCAGCGCCTAATTTATGATTAGCTTCGTTAGGTTGTTATCTGGTGTGTTTCAAATAAGTTTCTGTGTGAGATATGATTAAAAAAATAGTGAGTTAAATATTGAACTATGGTGTAATGTGCAGTGGTGGGCTGTTCAAGCAACAATAAGAAAAGTAAGGACATTTCGAATTTGTGTTTCTTCAGTTTTCCAAATAACAAGGAAGTTTGCGAGGTGAAGTGTTATCAGAAACACAAGTTTATTTACACCTAATTAAATGTAATGTACTCGAACAAGTTTTCAAAAATTTTAATTCAGGATCATTAAAATCGAGATAAAAATTATTAGAATCTCAGCTAGTGTAAGTGCAGATGCCAAGCATCTCTGTAATTCAGATGCAAATTACATTTTAACCCCATAAGTGGTAATGACGTATATATTCTCCAACATATTATTCATCTAGGTTGATTATGACGGATATATTCGCCAAGAATATTTCATTGAGGCCGTCAATGGCTATCACGAATACGTTCGCCTGTGATGATTCCACCGTACATATAAGGAATAAGGAACAATTACATGTGTTTGTGATACCAGCAACACCGACAGAAAATTGATGACAGTAGCTAAACTCCTCGTACGACACCGCTATTACGCGGAGGCCTCTGAAAATGCAGCGGTACTCTTTATGAAATTTTGGCAAACGTCGCTGTAATCGAAAGGTACCACGTCCAAGCAGTGGCGCACGATGACTTCTGCTACTGCCATCGATTCTGGTATTTGACTATAGCAGTCATTATTGCGTGGTCGCATATACCGGTTGTTTCCTGCTTGTTTGTGTTCAAACGTTAAAGATACTTTTGATAATGGCTAGTTCTGATGTTGAAATGACTATAGATGATTCCAGTGATGATGAGAGTCAGTGCACTAGTTCTGGCGAATCATATAATGATTCTATTTTCAACGAGGATTTTGAAGAGAGTGATACCGAAAGTGAACATGAACCTGATGTTGATCCAAGTTTTTGAATTCCCTGGACAGAGAACGGGATTTCTAGGCCAGCGTTCAATTTTACGTCAAACAGTGGTGTGCAGGTAAACAATTTAAAGGATATGTTGCAATTTTTTTAATATTTTTTAAATGATGATTTAATAGATATAATAGTCAGAGAAACAAACAGATATGCATCGCAGTATATTTTTTCGAATCAAGATAAATTCCCGAGTTAAAAAATGGTTTGATACACATAGTAATGAAATTAGGACCCTTATCAGGTCGTTAAGCATCTGTCCTAAGCCTGAGTACAAAATGTACTTTTCACGACGAGAGAGACTCCTTTTTTCTCTATAGTTAGGCGAGAGACGATTTCATTTGTTGCTAAAGTTTTTACATTTTGCAGATAATTCTACTATAAATCCACATAGAAAAAGCCGAAAATTGATCAAAGTTTTACCAGTTTTGGACTTGTCAGCTTATGTACCAAAAGAAAACTTAGCCATAGATGAGTCCTTGATAGGATGGAAAGGCAGACTTGCTGGGAAACAGTACGAGCCCCTTCCCACTTCAGTTGGCCCAACTATTGAAATCTTAGTTTTTTTCTTATCAAACACAAATAATAAAAATGTAGCAGGGTGTTATAGGTTTAAAATATTAACAATGAATATTTTGATAATATATAGTAGAAAACACCAACATTATCACTCTCTAATCAAATTTGCAGCATAAAAATAACACATGTTGCAATTACAGCATATCAACCTATTTTCATATCAATGCAAAATAAGTCTATAACGCATAGGTGGCTGTGAAAAATAAAAGCCATGACAATTGTTTTTATTAATCACAGCTGTCAGAATACGTTTAGAATAGTTTTGGGTAGTTAAGGTTTTCAAAATGGGTAGAGGACAGGTTATTAGTGAGAAAATTCGGTTACTGATAATTAGATTTTTTAATTCTGGGAAATCAAACTCAGAAATTGCAACTTTGTTAGACTTATCCCGATACAGTGTGAGAAATATTGTTAGAAGATATAACGTAACTGGTTCAGTTAATATTAAGCCACGATATGTGTAAAAAAGTAACATCACAAATGACGACCGAAGAGCATTAAGAAGAATAATCGTGAAACACAGGCGTGCCAGTTATTTACAATTAAGTGCTCTGTGGAGTGATGCTGTTGGAAGGACAATTTTGAGGTCCACAACTCATAGAGACACCCGCAAACTGGGATTTAGCACTTGTAAGGTGTTTTCTTAAAAAAAAGTGAAGTAATAACCCTAAAGTTGCATAACTTGTTTATAGGCCAAAGAAAAGCCACTATTAAATCCACTGCAAAAGAAAAATCGGCCTAGATGGGCTAAAGCACATAGACAATGGACACCTCAATAATGGTGTGCAATAAAATGGAGTGATGAGGCCCGATTCGAAGTTTGCGTGAGTGACAGTTGCAGTAGAGTTATTCGCAAAAAAATGTAGTATTCCATGTTGACTGTCTGAAGAGAAAAGCATCCATTATGGACTGGGGCAGTATGTCATCAAAAGGAGTAGGAAAACTTCATTTTATTGATGGAAATGTGGATACAATCAAATATCTGGCAATTTTAGAAGTATCGCTTTTACCAGTGATGGAAGAATGTTTGACATCCGGCCAAGATTTTGTGTCTCAACAAGATGGTGCAGCGTGCCATACCTCAAAAAACGATATAAAGTGGATGGAAGAAAATAATGTACCACTTTTGAAATGGGTTTCTAGCAGTACAGATCTGTCACTTATTGAAACTTTGTGGCACGAGATGAAAAAGGTTCTACGACAACATCCTGCTCGTACAATCACCGAACTGAGACAAAAGCTTCAAGAAATATGGGATTGTTTTACAACAAATTTTTGCCAAAAGTTGGTTAACACTATGCCCCAAAGAATTTCAGCCGTAACAAAAAATAAAGGTGATGTTACCCAATGGTAATCTTTCAATTGTTGCTTTGTTAACTTCGCGCATTTATTCGCACATTGTTTATTTGTTCGGATGTTCTATTAGTTATAGGTCTAAGTGATTTCAAATATGTATTTTTTACGACTAGAGTGTATCTAAAATGTTTTTGAGCAAATAAATTGTTTTAGAAGTAAATAGTTTCGCCATGTCTAGTTTATAAGGGCATATTTTGGTACAAATCTTGAAGTGGGTCAACTGAAGTGGGAAGGGGCTGGTACATACCTTCGAAAAGGAAGCGATTTGGCATGAAAATTTTTGCCTTATGTGAAAGCCGCAGTGGTTAAATTTACAACCTTTTAGTTTATACTGGCGCAGATACTGAATACAATGCTTTGTATATAAATGAACCACTTATTTCGAGGGTAGTGTTGACATTGATTCATCCAGTTTTAGATAAGGAATACCGCCTGTTTTTAGATAATTATTATACAAGCATAGACCTCTGCGACAAGCTAGTAAAAAGGACGGACAGCGTCGGGACAATGAGAATAAATAGAAAAGGAATACGACGGGAACTAAAAGTAAAATTACAGAGAGGAGAAACTGTAGCACGTTTTAGAAGAAAAGTCATGATTTAGAAATGGCGCGACAAAAAAGACGTCCTTATGATAAGCACAGCCCACGATGACAGCATGAAAAAAATTACAGCAAGGAGTGGGTATACTGAAAAGCCATCTTGCGTAATCGATTACAATGCCAGCATGGGTGGTCTTGATTTATCTGACAATTACCTCCACTTTTATCGAAATGCTCGTACTAGAGTTAAAAAGTGTTACATGAAGATGTTTCTCCATTTTTTAAGTGTCACTACGTTGAATGTCTTTCAAATAAGAAGAATGGCGGAAAACTAAAAAGACTGAAGTTTTTACTAGAGCTGGGTGAAAAGATAGTGAAATAATACAGCAAACCCTTACAAATAAAGAAAAGAACGTCTAGAACGCCAATGTACCAATGCTCACAAGATTGACTGAAAGGCATTTTCCATCGATAATACCACCAACAACAAAAGCAAAACCGACAAACAGGTAAGTCAAAAACATCACTCTATGTTTGTCTTATTGCGTTTTTCTTTACTTCAGATGCGTTTTATGTGCTGAAAGAAAGAAGCGAAAAGAGAGTCGTTATTGGTGCCCAGAGAGTCGTACTGGTCTCTGTCCTGCACCTTGTTCTGGGATATACCATACGAAAGCATAATATTACTGCTATTTATCGGCTGTAGTCTGCTGTTAAATAAATAAGTTTCAAGTAATTTTATGTGCATTACTTGTTTAAAAACACTACTAACCATGGTGATTGTCCCGTATATGTACGCACTTCATTTAAAGTAACCCAATTCACGTAACTTTAACGAATATGCACGCCTGAGCTTCTATTATGAGTGGCAAAGACGAATATGTACGCAAGCGGTAAAATGACATGCCATCTGAAAAGTCATCGCTGAAAGCAGCTACAGCCACTTAAGGGGTTAAAAACCGGTTGTTAAATAGAGATATAAAGGGAAAATTGGGAAGGGAAAATGATGAAAATTGTAAAATAAACTCAATAAAACTGTTCACAATACAAAACACTTCTATCAACACTTAGCCATAAAAAAGACATTTAAACAACATTTATTCAAAATTATAAAGATCTCGTATGTACTGTATCTTGTCTCTGATCTCTTCGTATAAAAAGCTATAACAAATCAATACATATATGTCACTGATGCACAAAGGTATTATTTGAAGCAAATTTGCGTCAATAAAGAAGTAAGTGCCTTTATTTGGAGCTTCAAAGAAATGTTTGTTTAAAAAGCTACAAGCGTATTTTCAATGATTAAGCCTCAAGCTATTAATAAAATTTCAACTTGTCTATTTTATTGAGTTTTCTGAGTGATAACTTTATCACGGCAATGTATTCTGTCTATAATGATATAGTATACGTACTTCATTAAATTGTACGAGGGATGTCTTTTAAGTTTTGCATATAGAAACATAGTAGGCCGCGTGGATCGAACGTCAGTTTTGAATCTTAACCTCACTCTTTAGTAAACTTAAATTTAAAGTTTCACAATAATTCGTGCAGGCTTCTCACTACGGTGAATTTTTAAGTGTCACCAAGTCATTAGAAAAATGGAACTCAACCGAGAAAATTTTCGCGCCATAACTTATTACAACCTTCAGAGACAATTATCGCAACAAGAATGCCTTGCTGAGTTGCTGTCTGTTTTCGGCAACGAAGCGCCACATCAGTTGACAATTTCCCGTTGGTATGGAGAATTCAAACGTGGACGGGTGAGTCTTAGCGACGATCCCAGGGTGGGTGCACCAAAAACGGCAGTCACTCACGAAAACGCCAATGCTGTGCGGTTAAAAACCGGTTGTTAAATAGATATATAAAGGGAAAATCGGGAAGGGAAAATGTTGGAAATTGTAAAATAAACTCAATAAAACTGTTCACAATACAAAACAGTTCTATCAACACTTAGCCATAAAAAAGACACTTACACAACATTTATTCAAAATTATAAAGATGTCGTATGTACTGTACCTTGTCTCTGATCTCTTTGTATAAAAAGATATAACAAATCAATACATATATGTCACCGATGCACAAAGGCATTATTTGAAGCAAATTTGCTCCAATAAAGAAGTAAGTGCCTTTATTTGGAGCTTCAGAGAAATGTTTGTTTAAAAAGCTACAAGCGTATTTTTTAATGATTAAGCCTCAAGCTATTAAGAACATTTCAACTTGTCTATTTCAGTGAGTTATCTGAGTGATAACTTTATGTCGGCAATGTATTCAGTCTATAACGATATACTATACTTCATTAAATTGTATTGACATAACATCAAAATATAATCGAAACTAGACAGTAAAAACGATCACTGCGAAAGTGAAACATCAAGCTGACTGGAACTGTATTAGTTCGCATTGTTTCCCAAGTCACCACTGTATAAAACAAAGGAATATTAGGCAAATGTTCAACATATTTAGAAAGAAACGCTCTAATGCAATGCAGAGTTACGCCACGGGCAAGTAGGTATGAAATTCTGTAACGAAGTGTTAATATCTGCTCTGGTTATGGTAGCCTGATAAGCATATATGCATAGAAATGTCATTGACGGTCTGCGTTGTGAATACTTGGTATTCCGACCACTTGAGAGCCGACCGTGATAGTGGTGCTGTACTTATCGCTGAACGTCGAGCGGTTACGGGCTAGGAAATGTAAGGGTCTCCATCATCTCCATAGTTTACTGACGTTCATGCTTCAGAGTACGGTGATGAAATCTAATTCATTTAGTCTTATCAAGATTTTTTCACCTGCTTCTCCAACCAACACTTCGATCCCTGCAAGGAAGGCTATTGTAACTCACTTTTGGTTGAACTGAGATACAGGCATTATAAGACTTTCTGATAAATTTCGTTGTCAGAAGAATGACGATCTGATCAAAAATATGCTGCACGTTGTAGTACTTCTTGTATATAGAATGTTATAGATGGTATTACAATACAAACCTAGCGAAAATGAAAATTTTTTTTAATAAATTTTGTTGACTTACTATACTTTTCATTGGATCAACTAAAGAAAAAAGTACACTTGCTCTAGACTTACTAGGATGTTTATCGAAATATGACAGTATTTTTCAAACAAATGGTCGGAAAAAACTTCTTTAATGCCAATTTGATTCACTCAGATTATATTCATCTTCGTGTTCTCCACTATCCTCGTCCTCAACTTCTGTAGTTTCAGCACTGATAATATCATGCCCTCTTTGTATTTTTTATCTTCCTTGACTTTTAGAGAAAAATGGAAAGCAGGTAAGCCTCAGGAGTGCTAGGAAGACTGTCTGCTTTTGATATACATAGGTCTAATAGGCCATTTAATTTTCTAGCATCTACTGGAAGCAAGCTTGTATTTTGTGGTCTCATTCTGTGATAATCAGTGTTACTGTCATGATATCATCAGCATAGTCACACTTATATTCCATTTCACGAGGCACTTATTCATTTTCAACAATCGTCTTTGTTCCAGTTTTCCGATTTTACCTTTTATTTAAAACTAATGGATCCACGACCAACCGCAGACAGGGCTCTTTAGCCCTCATCAGTACGATATAGGTCTTTAATATAGGTCTGTATCAGGTCCAGACCTAGAGACGGAAGAATGAAAAGCAAACACGTGAGTGTCGTCTTAGGAAAACCGAGGACTGTAGTACTCGTAGTTGAATTCTCTGTTGAACTTTCTCATTTCACAGCCATGAGAGAAACAGAATGTGATGCGACGGATCCCAATGCATAACGTGCAGAAGAGGATGCTATGTTTAAACCTTGCTGTTATGTTAAAAGAAATCATCACTATTTATGAACCAAACTTGCCTGAATTTAACGGTTCAGCAACTGCACTTAGCTTCTTCGCTTTGAAAACTGCTCTTTTCATACAGCTAATACTTGAAATATTTTGACTATTAATTACCGTAACCTCAAACTATGCCGCGAAAATCATAGTAAGTCAGACAGTAGGTCTAATAGTAAGTTAGGCGTTCCGTGATTTTTTTTATCGAAGACAACCTGGAGATTGAGACCACTCTCAAGGAAACAGTATCCAGTAAAGCGAAGAATATCCCTGGAGTGTGAAAAGGCACAACAAATAATCAATCTAAACCTTTCAGTCAAAGGGTCAGGAATTGATCCAGATAGATAGCTTTTCGGGTTCGTGAAACGATTTTGTGTTTGTTGAGGTCCCAAAAGCACAAATAATTACATAGGACTTATTCGTCATAAGTTTGATCTGCTTAGTCCATACCTTCATATTGCTATTAGTTTTCACGGAATTCAAACTTCAAGGTTCAATCCTACAAATTAACGAAAAGCGCTGAATTAGAGTGTAAAATTGTGAACGAAAATAGAGATAATTATTCCCGTATTTCATTCTAGGAAATCGACATGTTATCTGTAAGAGCAGATCTGATTATGAACCCAATTAACGGAAACATTTTTTGAAATAAAAGCGATTTTTCTGTTTCCCACACGTTGGCACACATCCAAGTGAAACGCATCACGAGGGCATCTGAATATTTTGCTTCCTTAGTTCAACGTCTTGAGTCACCGTTTAGCATTGCGATCCGTGCATAATGCCCCTCAATGCTCTAAACAAAATTATAAACAACAAAATAAACGAAACTCAAATTAATTAGTCAACTGTCAATGAGTTTATGGCTGTTCGTATATCAGCCATCCAGCCATGATCAAATAAAGTTTCGCGACGTTTTCCCTATGTCGGAGATAAAAATGACGTTAAGTAGGTTGTTTCTGCATTTCCCACGCAACGCTGGCGTCCATTCATAGAAGATTTTGTTGTGCACAAGTTAGTTATGCCAGCAGCAACCACCAGAAATAAATAAATGAGATATAGCCTCTATAGCTCTATACCACCTTCTGCCGCCCACAATTCTTTTTTCTTTTCGCCAGATTTTTTTTTATATACTAAAGCAGTAGGTGGAAACCTAAGCACTGAGGCAACGCGATTGCTGTAAGGAACTTAAAGACTAGTTCGATTTTTGAACTGCCTAAGGCAGTTCTGGAAAAAGTATCCTCAGATAAACTATTTCATATTCTCGACGTCCTAGGAACGAGGGAGCGGTCGTACCGGCTAGTTCATGATGTGCGAAGTTCGACAGAGCTGAGATGAAAGGCAGGAGTCTGACGGGTCTGACTGGCAGGCTTTACGCGTGACAGCATCATGGAGGGGAGCTTGAGAAACCAACAAAGCTTTTCGTCCTTATCATAGAAGTAAGCTTGTATCAAACTTTTACCAAATTCCGAGCGGTACCTTTTCGAGTTACAGACTGGCCAATGATTAGCGGCCAGACATAGTTCTTCATGATGCACATCTCATTCAACATCTAAAAAATTTAATGTCTCATTTTCGGTGCCTGACGATATACCTTTAAAGTTTAAGGTATGCGCCCAGTGATCCGCATCGTACGTAATTTATGATAGCATGTCCACTGTATTCATTGATAATGAATTAAAGAAATCCCATGCAGATTGTCAATAGTCGTATCCTTCCGTTTGATGGGAATCAGTGAGGACGCTTACCTTGAAAGACGCCGAGTGGTAGCTACTCTATTTTTATTCCCGACTGTACCTTCCCATTTCTCTCTCTACCTCTACTTACTGAAACGATAATTCGCATCGCTGTTGATGTAGTCAGTTTCCGGCAAGCTGCTTCATTACCTGAACCTCCCTCTAAAATTCGCTGAAATTATTACCGTTCTGACGTTTCCAATATCTGTACGAACATGCTTAAGAACTTCCGCTGGGTGTGA